CGTGTGTCACTAAACTCTGTTAGATCGTTTTCTGTCAATTTGGAAACGGATGGTCACGAGAAAGTATTCGGGGCTTGCGAACGGGACCGCGGTGGTCGTCCACCGATCGTTTAGTGCTATGTGAACTCAAGCCCCGCTCTCGTCGTGAATATGCATTACTGATGAGTTCCAATAGGAGCGAAACTTGAGTCTGGTGCTTTCGAGTTGACTGAAGATTGTACGTGTTGACCTCAGAAGAATAGTCAGTTCAACGCACTGTCAGTTATTCCATACGGCTACTCACAAGTTACTGTGATTTAAATGAGAAATAAAAGTTTCATTGCTTTTTTATTAAAAAAGCTAAACTCCGGTGCTTTCCGTTTGCATGGTTGAGTGAACTAATCATGGTTTGTTTGGGTGAGATCAAAATACAAAAAGATGATTTGTGTAAATGGAAACCACTTATCCCACGCAGCTGCTCTAAAATACCTGAGCCATATGTGAGTTATTCTTATTGTTAGTATTATTATAGTTACTGGGCGGAATAAAGATGAACAGTCACAGGAGTGACTTAACTCTATGCAGTCGTTTGCTAGAGAGAGTGGTTTCAGCTCGAAGATATGACAAAAGATGTCTGAGCTGAGGTGAAATGCTCCTGGACATATTTGGTCTGAGTTTAGGTAACGTAATCATTTGAAACTGTGCCTCAATTCCCGAAAATAACAAACGATCACATGTTCTCGGGGAAGGAACTCACCCGTGGTACTTCTGCATTAGACCACAAGTGGCTCTGTACGGGCTGTGGAACCGATTTTCAATATCTATCCGGGTCTCTCCAATGAGATCGTCTGAACCGATCCGGTCGTGATCCATGACCTGGAAGAATGACGTACAAGCAGAGCGAAAATCTACTATTTAACTCATTCCGATTACTTGCGTTCATGTCTGTCTGTCTGATTGGGTTATTAGAATCACACACACACACACACACACGCATACACACGCAGAGAGATAATCTTGGAATTGGGAGATTGGTCCCTATCCACAATGAAAACTGTTTTCTTTACCAATCGAATAAGGTGAGGGTGGGGGATTCACGGACTTGATTTTCCTCTTCAGTTCACGTTGTGTCTTGAGTCACAGGGATCACGGAGGCTGAAATTTAATCTACTCAAATCTTGATTTATCCCACCATCAATCGCTGCGCAAAAGATATTAACTTGCGTTGCTAATATACACAATTAAGAATCCATACAGTTTCGTCCTAACTTGAAAATTATGACAACAACTCAGCGTAAAATGTTACTACCATTATCCAACTCATCATTAACTGCATAGTAGTAATCATAACCATTACCTCTCGCAGAAAGTGAACATGTCATTCTTGACTGCAGTCCGTTCAGTTTGTTATGGGCGGATGGGAGGGGGGACGGGGAGAGTGTGGTGGCCGCGGTTCACACACAAAATGCTCCCGACACGTTTCCACGATCCACTTACCTGAATAGTGAGCATCGAATCTTGAGGCAATTGCGCGGTGAACTCGTAGCACTTTCCAAATACCGGGTTTAGACATTTCGGTTGATAGTCTGCGCGTTCGTCAATGACTACTTTCCCCAGTTGCAAAACCAAGTATGGATCCGCCTTCCCGTTTCGATCGGCCGGATGTAAATCCAATGCCTGAGAGGAAGGGGGTGGAATAGCAGTTAGACCGAGGATAACAAGCACATAAACAAAACGGAAAGATATACGAAAAAAAGTGTTATACATTGAGGGCCAAAAGGGAACCACGAGCCTAACAGGTTACGATGAGGTTTGAGTCCCTTAAGACTGTCAGACATTTCGGACTCGCTCTAGACGAAGATTCAGAAAAACAGATTACCGATGGGAGAGAGAGAGAGAAAGAGTTCGAAGCGTGATACCTCATGCACTCGAACCCAACGGCAACACGTTAATGACGATTGAGTTGTTTCTTCTCGGTGGCAGGTGGGCGGGTGTACTTGGTGATCTAAGTTAGCTACTCGAAAATCACCCGAAAACAGTGCAATTTATACATACGACAAACACAGTATGACTTATCGGCCAAAACTTACTCGAACAATGTACACCCGAACGGTCAGTTTGATATGAGCTCGTTTTGGAAGGATGGAATACAATCGTAGATCATCCAACACGGTCGGGAATGGTTCGCTTTCTTCCACCGGATAGATGAGCAAATTGCCCTTTTAAAAGATTAACCGGAAAACGGAGAGAAAGAGAGAGAGATAGAGGTGGGAAATATAGCGCAAAGCATTAAATAACTCATATGTAGGAGGTGGAGGCTACGTGCATTGCGAAACTAGAATCAACAGGTGATTTGTCAAAGTCTGAAGACAAAACATCAGAGAAAAGATTCACAATTTGCTCGCGGGCACAATATGGCTAGGTTGCCCAGGCCAAATTAGGCTGATTTTCATAGGGGGTTCACAACCGTAGCCTCCGGTTAGCCAAAGCCTGGTACACAATGCAGCGCGGCGGTGTGTGCGAAAACCACAATCCATTGGGGACCAGTGTTCAGTTCATCGGATCATACGCCCAATACACCTCGATGACCGTGTGATCCGATGACCACTACCACAATCAGGAAGCTGTGTGCATGGCTCGTACGGCTCTTCTTGTGTTCATGGTTATAGCCTCGGATATTGGTCAAGTTAGTCTTTCGAGAATTTACTTGATATTTCCAAATGCGCGAATTAGAGTTGAGCGGATTATTTTTATTTATTAATTCAATTCAGACCAAATATATGGAAAAACATGGACTGGATGCAAACTGGTTGTCCATTTTTGTTTCTTATTTATAGAAAGACCAGTAGTGCATTGAAAATACGCCAAACTCCCATTCCTGATGTTGTCAATTACGATAGCCTGTGTTATTCTCTTTCTTGTAACCATTCTCGGTCATCCTCTG